GTCTCTGCCCCGGCGGGCGGGCGGGGGGGGCCCGCGGGGTCAGACGCTATCGGCGCGAGCGAACGGCGTACCACCGCTTGTCTCTGAAGGTTATCGGCAGACGGCAGGGACCTCTGCGCCGACGAGAATCCCGCCGCCACCATAGTGTCAGAACTCCTGTCGTATCTGCAGGAGAAGGAAAAAAAAAAAAGATTAGATTAGGAATTTTAGCCTTAAACGCAAGACTATTGCGGCCCAAGGGGCGCTGGCACCCTAGCCGCGTTTCTCCCATCAGAAGCAAAACGGCCGTCCGGGCATCGGCCCGAACTCACTGCCGCGGTCCGAAACTGGCGGGGACGGGCTCGCGTCGTGCACGTGGCAGCGCTCTCCCCGCCTCACCTCACCGGCTCTCTCCCGCCCTCGTACAGAAACACGGTGCTACGCCTTCTGCGTTAGGCTGTCAGGCACCGAGAACGCGGGGCGCTGGGAACGCCGGGCACTTACTCCGTAGGGAAGAAAGGCCGAACTGGAGGGAGCGAGCCAGGAGCGCGGCGCACCGTGCAAACGCCGGCTCCTCCTGCGAACTGCGCGCACGTACCGACAGCGCGTGCTGGCGGGACTCGTACCTGCCGCAGTTTGATGCCGGGTGCGGCGCGCCAGATGGGCTGGTGCCGGCAGCTCCGTGCGGGGAACAAGACGGATTGCCGTCCTGAGAGGCGTGACTGCTCCCTGAGGGGAAAGAGACATTTCGCGAGACCGACAAACACGAGTCAGGGGAACTCGGCTACGAAGTGAGCTCGCAAGGCGCTAGCGGTTTCCACGTGCTTAATTAGCTCTCGAGCTCCGTCGGCGACCTGCAAAAGCACGCGATCCAGCCTCCAAAACAAGAGCGTCTCAATACCCGCCGGGAAAGACGCAATCGGGCGGCGATACTGCGGCCAGCATGCCTCCTTTAACTGACCTCCGGCCGCCACTTTTACCGCTCGCGCGGTAATTTAGAACAGCTTTCAAACACCCAGGAAAACTCCCACCGGCAGGCTCGGCTCCGGGATTATACTCGGCCGTACCTGCCAGAAAGGTCCCCTGTTGAAGCACAGGGACAAAAGCAGACGCCCGCCTGACACCACCACCCCACGGGATCGCCGGCCACTAGGCGAGCGGCCACGGGGCGAGAAGCCCGTGCGATTTAACCGATTAAACAGACACCTGCCAGACTTTGGGAGGGGGGAAGCCGACGGCGGTTTCGCTTTCTCTCTAGCGGCCGGGTTATTTAGTGTTTCTTTTTGCGGGTACCTGATCGGAACTGAATTTTGATGGGCCTTCCGTACAGTTTGATCCCGTTAAGCAGGCTCAATCCGTAAGGGACAGATTCCTCATGTTTGAAATTCACAAACGCGAACTGCTTGGGTCGGCCGTCTCTGTCCTTGGGGATTTTAACCTTAATTACGGGACCCGCCTGCGAATCGAA